TGCCTCCAGACTCACCCGCACTGATCCGCCTGCTCATCAGAGCCTGACCCTGTCCCTTCCCTGAGCACCCCACCCCTAGAGGGACCCCCTCAACCAGACACATATCGCAGGGACCATGATAGAGTAGGAGGAACAAAGACTTTGCAGCCTGACAGTTCTCGGGTCACATCCCAGCTCTGGCACTCATTAGCTGAGTCATTCTGGATGAGTTACATAACCTCCCAAACCTCATTCTCCCTGTTGACGTGCGGGAAGATGGTGATAGAGATCATGCAGAGTCCTAGGAGCTGGAAGTACATTCACACTTACTTACAAAGAGCTCAGCCCAATGCCAGGTGCTCATAGGTATTTTACCCCAGCATGGCAAATGCGGAGTAGATACACCAGCATACCCCAGCCGTGGCTTGGGACCCAGGCTGGGAATGGATTGTAGCCACTCCCCTTTGCATATCTCCTCCAAGCCTGGGAAGTCAGGGAGGAGGGCTGACTTGCCCAAATAATAAACAGAACATTCAGGTTTAAACCCAGGTCAGTGGGCCGGGCGTGGTGGCTCACGCCTGTAATCCCAGCACTTTGGGAGGCCGAGACGGGTGGATCACGAGGTCAGGAGATCGAGACCATCCTGGCTAACACGGTGAAACCCCATCTCTACTAAAAAATACAAAAAACTAGCCGGGCGAGGTGGCGGGCGCCTGTAGTCCCAGCTACTCCGGAGGCTGAGGCAGGAGAATGGCGTGAACCCGGGAGGCGGAGCTTGCAGTGAGCCGAGATCCGGCCACTGCACTCCAGCCTGGGCGACAGAGTGAGACTCCGTCTCAAAAAAAAAAAAACAAAAAAAAAATAAATAAATAAACCCAGGTCAGTCTCTCATCTGCAAAGGGGAGACAGAAATTCCAGCTGTGCGTATCCGTTGCACAGATTCAGGGAAGATGCCAGTGGCAGCAGTAGCTGCTCCAAATCTGCCCAGACTATTTAGGGAGGCAGGAGGGGCTGAAGGTGATGGCAAGACCAACAACTGAGCCAACCCCCTGGCCCAGAGTGGGACTGCGGGGCTGAGCCATTTTAAGTAAGTCCTTTATAGACCCTACATCTGATTCTTGGAGGCCCCACCCTCACTTGCATTTAAAATGCACCCACACCCCTCATTAAATAGAACTCTACTTTGCTTTAAAGGGGTTTTTATAAATTTGCTTTTGAAATTACTTGACTCTGAGTAACTCACTTAATTTACTATTGGCTATGATTTCTGTTTCATCATATTGCATATTCTGGAACTCTTGTCAAAAATCCAAGTTACAAATTGTTTTCAAATATAATGACATGTGACTTAACAAATATTAAAGTTGACATGCAACTTTCTGAAGGCATTTCATTAAACATTTGTCAATTTCAACTTTTTTTTTTTTTTTTTTTTGCAGCCCTCAAAGCTTTTCTTTCAGCTCCCTGTGTTGCCCGGGGGTGGGCGGCATTGAGGGCCTGCCAGGAGAAGACAGGTGTGCGCACAAAATCAAGGCATTTGGATGGTCCCCATCTCTAGACCTGCAGGCTGCCCGCTTCAGGTGCAGCTGCAGAGACCACCCACCCCAGATTGTTCAGGGCATCCTAATTTGGGCAATTTCACTCTCATTTTGAAAATAAAGTGATTTGTCAAACATTGGATTAAATCTGAGTTAATGCTTAGGCCTTTATTGGAATTTCATATGAATACATTCATAAGTGAGGCAATACTTTGATATGGTAAATGTTCTGGTGTAGGGTTTAGAAATCAGGATTATTGTCACCCAACCAAACACCCTTACCCGTCCTCTACCCCAGCCTGGGGACCCAGATAGCTCCCCAGTTACTCTCCTCCACTCCCCCAGGAGTGGGCATGGAGAGGTGACCCCATGCAGGGCATGTGAGATGTGGCCTGGCACATGGCCCTCATGCTTCCGAGTCCGAAAGCTTTAGGGACAGATGAGGGACAGTCCCTCAGTGTCGACTTCACTCAGGACAGGCCCCAAACATTGGTTGGGTTGCCTGTTTTATTTACTCCCTCTGCCACCCACCCTCTTTCCCCCACCCCCCGATTCCAAGTAAGATCTGGCCCCTGACCAGAAAGAAGATGTGGGCTCCTTCACACACACAGGCACACAGAGCAGGTCGAGAGGAAGGGCAGGGCGTGGGGCTCCAAAAGAGGAGAGGAGGTGACGGGCTGGCATGGAAGGTGCAGGCAAGGTCGAGGGCAAGGAAATGACTTTTTATTTCGGCTCACATACTTTGATTCATTTCTATCAAGAACAGTAAAAAAATTCTACCTTGGACCTGGTGATTTCACTCAGGGCATCTACACTAAGGGAATAATCCGGAGAGATTTATGCAAAGATAATAATAGCTTATATTTACTGAGTTCTTGCTTAGTGCTTTATATCCAGTGGCCGATTGAATCCAAAATCAACCCATGAGAAAAGTGCTATTATTATCCCCATGAAATGGGTGAGGACCTGGAGGCACAGACAGGGGAAGTAACTTGCCTAAGGTCACACAGCCTGAAAGTGGTGGAACCAAAAGTCAAACCCAGAGTGCACATTGTTGGTCACATTAGGCCACAGTTATTCTTAACGGAGGAGAGCTGTAATCATAAACCACGGGAGGCTCACCAGGGGGTGGTGCACAGTAGTTCACATTCATATTTGCAGAGTATTTTAATGACATGTGGAAAGACATATGTTAAAATAATTTTTAAAATAGGCCGGGGTCAGGCCCGGTGGTTCACACCTGTAATCCTAGCACTTTGGGAGGCTGAGGTGGGTGGATCAGCTGAGGTCAGGAGTTCGAGACCAACCTGACCAACATGGTGAAACCCTGTCTCTATTAAAAATACAAAAAATTAGCCAGGTGTGGGTGTCACGCGCCTGTAATTCCAACTACTTGGGAAGTTGAGGCAGGAGAATCACTTGAACCTGGGAGGCAAAGGTTACAGTGAGCCAAGATTGTGCCACTGCACTCCAGCCTGGGCAACAGAGTGAGACTCCATCTCAAAAAAATAATAATAAATATTTTTAAAAGCCCAAATTATCCATGTGAAATCAACTCAAAAATACGATTTTTAAAAGAACTGAAAAGAACGCACAAATATGCATAGATACGTATTAAAATATCTACATACATCTCAGGCATGCAGCAAATACTTGGTGAAACTGAATATTTGGTAGATTATGAGTGGGCTTTTTACTTCTTCCTGTTTTTCTTTATTTTCCAATTTTTTTTTAACGAAAATGATTTTCTTTTCAGATAGGAAGAAGTATTAAGGGCTTACTGTTTTAAGATTATTTTCTCTTCACAAATATTTGAAAGAGAAATTTCTGAGAAACTAAGAAACCAGAGGGAAGTTGTTTAAAAAATAAATTGTGGGTTGGGCGCGGTGGCTCACGCCTATAATCCCAGGACTTTGAGCCCAGGAGTTCAGGACCAGCCTGTGCAGCATGATGAAGGTGGCACGTGCTTGTAGTCCCAGCTACTCATGAGGCTAGGGTGGGAGGATCACTTGAGCCCAGGAGGTCACTGCAGCCTAGATGATAGAGCAAGACCTTGTTTCAAAAATAAACCATGGAGAGGCTGCTAGGAACTTCAAATTAGTAATATTCTTAGAGCTAAGCCTCAGCACACACTAAGAAAAACAGGAGACAAGAATGTGAACTGAAGGATTCTATTAAATGACAAATTCAACGAGTAAATATAGAGTCCTAAGTGCTGGCAGACGGGACAGGCAGTTCTTGCCTCCGAAAGACCTTCTAGAAAGATCTTTTAATCCTGCTTCCTTGTTAAAACAAAGACAAGACACAGCTCAGGTGTGTTATTATTCACCTACTTGAAAAGTGAGTCCCTCTCACCCTTGTAAAGGGGGATCTTTGGGCAGCCAAGGCCCAGCCTGGGTGGGGGAGCCGTGGACTCACCACCTCCCACCCTCATTGGGCTCCAGCATTCAATTCTGTGACATGTAAGTGGCCAGGATGAATTGGCAAGGGGTGTCTTCTGAACTGAAGGGCCTCGGGTCTTGACCGGGAGAGGGCTTGGCCAATGGGAAGTGAGGAGGGATGAGGAGAGCGTCTTCCCGGGGCACCTGCTGGGAGGCCCAGGGCCAGGTGCAGACCTGCTTGCTGAAAGAGGCTGGGGTGAGGGAGAGCAGCTGACAAGAAGGGAGGAGGAAGCCAGCGGCCTCCCAGCCTCCCCCTCCTGCTCCAGCTGCTCTGGCTCTGGGCAGGCCCTCAATTACACAGGCTCATGCTGTTCCAGGGCTAATCGCTTCTGAGGCAGCCAGCCAGGGGAGGACAGGCCTCCCCAGCCAGCAGCAGGGGCAGCGACAGGCTTCTCTCCGCCCACCCAGGACCCTGCACAGCCCAGGGCACATTCCACTTTCCTTCTTTACCTGGGGAACAGACTCCAGCAACCTCTGTGCCAGGGAGGTGCTCCAGAAATTGTGTATTAAACATGGGACAGAGGCTGAGGTTGTGGGGGGAGGCGCTGGAATCAGAATGCACAGGCTTGTGCCAACCTCTTGCAATAGAATCTGCCTGAGAGTTTGCAGATGTCTGTGCCACACCTTCTGCCTACTGAATCAGAATCTCTGAGAGTATGGCCTCGAGAGGGCCATCTAAATAAGACCCCCCAGAAGACCCTGGCCTCGGGTTTGCCTGTAGGTGCACAGTCCCCACCTACCAGGCCATCCCCTCAGAGGCTGGAAGAGGGGAAGAAGTACAAGGTAGGAAACAGACACCAGCCCCCGAGCTGGTGTGACAGGGATGTGCTGCAGACCTGGGGCTAACTGTCCCCCTCATGGGGGACAGGCTAGATGAGGGTCGGATGGGTATCTCCTCTCTCCCACAGCTTCCTTTGTCAGTTTCCACAAGCACAACATACACATCACCCAAGACGAGTCCCTCTCCTCAGAATGTGCAGTGCCTCCATTCACAGCCACCTCCCACCATGGTACTTCCTCTCCCAACAGAAACCCCACCTGCTTCATTAATTAAATAATCTTTATTTCTCATGCACTAGGAAAGATGGGTCGTATGAAACACTGCAGTTCACAGCAAAGGCCTCGGTCCAGAACACAACACAGGGGCCAGCTGGGATCAGGATCTGGTCAAAGCTCTGGGAGCCACACTGGGAACACCACTCCCAGGGTTGAGTGGCAGATCCAGGACCTTGCAGTGACCGTGGCCCCAGACATAACACACGGCAGCTGCCCTCTCCCACAGAGGCACAGGAAGCTGACACCCAAGGAGCACGTGGGCTGGGGACAGGACGGAGAAGGCTGCTGGGCAGTGACTTGGCGGAGATGTGGTCCAGCACCTCTGCCACCTGCGTCTACCCACTTAGGCCAGGAAGCCCAGGGCTGTGACTGAGCTCTCAGCCCAGCTCTAGCCAGTGCGGAGCTGCTGGAGTTCCACAGACCCTCAGCAGCCCCGTGCCCACAGCAGAGGTGTACAGGTCCCCCGCCTACCCCTCGGTTACATGAACAAGACAGGGGCCTAAACTCCAGCCCTGGCCAAGGCTTAGATTTGTCCAGGAAGGACCTGAAAGGCTAGAGGGGCCAGCCCCCCACAACCATCCCAAGCCCCTATGGACACTGGAGAAGCCCGTAGGACAGTCAGGCTTCTGAGGACCCCAGGACAGGGCCACCAGCAGGGGGGACCCTCAATACCTGGGCCGTCAGGTGCTACCTGAGCCCAAACAACAACGAGCAGATTCCCAGGCTTTGCTTTCACTGGGCGGCTCAGGGACAGTGACATGGTCGGAGACATGCAAGACACAGACAGACAAGAACGGAGACATGCAGAGACCACACAGCATGGGAGGGGTCTGAGGACAAAACGTGGTAAAAGTGCTGCGATGTGGTGGGCACTTCATGGACCAGGCTCACTGAGGCCCTGGGCTCATGGTGATACCCGCCTCCTCCGGAATGGTCTCCAGCATCTCACTCTGGACTGCCTGCGTGATGAGCGCCAGCTCCTGGCACAGGGTCTCGTAGCGGTAGCCCACGCGGATGTCTGGCACGTTGGTCCGGCGGATGTCATTGCCTTCAGGGCCTTCCTTGGTATAGTTGGGTCCCAGCCAGTGGCTCTTTACCTGCAGGGAGCAGGGGTAATGGGCAGGGCTGCAGCCAGTGCTGAGGGGCCGTGCCCCACCCCAAGCCATCCCAGGGACAGGTCAGGACCCCAAATGCAAAGGAGGGGAGGAGCGATGCCATGCCAAGGTCCAGGCAGGCGCTGTAGTACCTTGTGCGAGAAGCCACTCATGAGCACGCTGTTGCGGGCCAGCTCACACATATCGCAGGAGCTGAGCTTCCACACCTGGGTGGCGATGCTGTATTCCTCCATCAGCGGCTCCTGCACGGGCCAGGTTCCCTCAGAGGAGTGCGTCCTGGCTAGCTGCCCCTGCCTCCCTTCCCCCACCTCCCCACACGCTCTACCCACCCCCGCCCCCCATCCGCCCAACCCCCCAACTCCATAGGACTTGCCAATTGGCCAGCTATGCTCTACCACCAGGGGGCAGCACCAACCCGAGAGACACCACCCCCCCACCCGAAAGACCCCAGCGTCCTGGGACCCGCCCGCCTGCCTGGCTGCCTGCTGGGCTCTGACCTTGGTGAAGTGGAACTGCAGGGGATCATCAGTGGACAGGGAGACCATGAGGCCGCGGGACAGGTACTCCGGTAGCGGATTCCGGTGGTAGCTGAGGAAGAGGCTGTTGTTGCTGAGCGGGGACATGGCGATGCCAATCTGGGCCAGGTAGTACAGGTACTGCAGGACGGGGGCCTGGGCAGGCAACAGGGAGGGAGGGCCTGTCAGGTGGCCTCGGGGCTGGGCAGGGCACAGTGGTTCTGGGGGTCCAGGCCACAGAAGAGGGAAGGGGGAGGAGAATCCAGGCTGGGCCTGATGTGCAAAGGGTGAATTAGTCAAAATCCAAGTTGGGGCCCCAGGCTGGAGGCTAGGGCGGGGAAGGGTAGTTACATTGGGAAGGCAGAATCCAATCTGAGGGCTGGGTGGGAGGAGGATTGGTTACTGAAGGGGCTCGAATGGTTCAGAGGAAGGTGAACAATTGGGAGGGAAGGCTGGGCGTGCAGATCCTGACCTTGCGCAGAAGCAGCCCATGGGAAATGTTCTCAGCCAGCATGAAGGCTGACACCAGGTGGTGGATGGGTCCAGCCTCCCCACAGTGTGGCCTCAGCACAAACGTGTGGAAGCCCCTCTGCCTGGGGGACATGAAGACAGTGTCAGCTCCTGAGCCTGGGATCACCTGGGCTCACTGGAGCCCCTGACCTCCCAACCCAGCCTGCATATGTCCTCCAGCCGATAACTATGCAGGCCTGGGATAAGGGGGACAGGGGTAGGTTACTGGCTGTGAGGGGTGAGAGATGTAGCTCCAAGGGCAGAGAAAGAACCCATCTAGTCCAGGCAACAGGTGGGTCAGAGGTCTGGTGGCCCCAGCCCAAGGTGCCAAGAGTGAAGTTTGTTGGGCAAGAGACGGCACAGCAAACAGACACAGGGTGGTGCAGGCACCTGCGCAGGTGGTTCAACATGGCCATGTTGGCAAAGGTGTAGTACAGGTAGTAGGCATAGGGTGGGTTGTCCTCCTCCATCCACGCCTCAGGCAGGGGGCTCTCCAGGTTGAAGACATGGTTCTCAGGCTTGGACTCGTCATCCACACTGTCAAAACCATCCACCTAATACAGAACCCTGGGGTCAGACCCAGAGCTGCAGCTGGACGTGAAGCTGGCTGTGCTCCCCATACCCAGCCCTGTGCTGCCTGCTCACATGCTCCAAGAACAGATGCAGCTCCGGGTGGCTGGCAGGGTGCACAGTGGCCTCGAACAGTGGCAGGAAGATGTTCTCCAGCATCTCCTGGAAGTTGGCCAGCTGGCCCTTGGTACGGTACACATCACTGCAGGCGAGACATAACATGCAGGTATGTGCAAGTCAGGGCCAATGGGAGGAAACCCAGTGGGCCAGTAAGGGTCAGAGCTCGGCCCAAGAGCATAGGGGCGTATCTGAACCACACTGGGAAAGCAAGGATACCCAGGTGGGCCAGGCTGGACAGACCATGGGTGGGACCAGGAAGCCCTTCTTTGCACTCAGAGGGGTTGGCAGGGACAAGGGAGGCTCAGCCATCTTAGGAGGGCAGGAGGCAGGCCCTGACCCCTTGAACATGACCTCACAGGTTCCCCTCCCACTCCAAGGGACACTCACAAGAGGCGGGGCACCTGCACCAGCCAGCGCACGTTGGGGGAGTGCACACGGTGCATGACGGCCCAGCGCGCCAGCTTGTCCCACTCATCCCTCGAGCGCCCGTAAATGGAGAGCCGCAGCTCTGCATTCTGGTATTTGCTCTCCTCCAGGTCTGACATCACCTCCTAGACATGAGGTGAGCTGAGTCAGAGCTCTTCAGGGGGTCATCTGCCCACCTTCCTTGAGTCTCATCCCCCAAAAGCCCCCAGATCCTCAGGCTCGAGGCTTGGCAGGGAAGGCGGCCTCCTTACCTTAATGATGTGAGCAAAGTACTTCCCAGATACCCTGTTGTCCGTCTTGATGAAGATCTCTCGGAGGACGGACTCCCCAATAGGGTTGTATTTGGCATTAAACTTGTCAAAGCGATGGAAAGTGTTCCTGTCCTGGGGGACGTGGGAAGGCTCAGGTCACCCCTGACTCCTGGTCCCCTGACTGACTCAGTCCCACAGCCCACACCACTGGCACAGACCGCATGCACATCCAGCGTGTCCACACTCAGGTCGTAGGCTGTGAGATTCATGCTCTCAAAGACCTCCCGCAGCGTCTGTTCACGGCCCTGCTCCACGTGCACGATCTCCTCCAGGTGCCGTTTCATCGCCCGCTTGATGAAGCGCAGCAGATGCTTCTGGTTCATGCAGGACGAGGCATGGATGTGGGTGTCCACCTGGAGTGGAACAGGGCACTGCTGATCCACCAGAGGCCAGGACGCTCTGGGGCCCAGGGCAGTGCGATGGGAAAGGACCCTCTGTACTGGATGCTCTGTGGGGGGCCTGGCCCTTGAATGGGAGGCTGGGCAGAGGTGTGGGATGGGGACACGGAGAGGGTCACGGGGTCAGGGCCCACCTTGCGGATGTTGTAGAAATCTCGGTGTGGCACTTTCTTCTGGGCGGCCAGTTCCTTCATCTCATTGAGTAGCACGTGCATCTGGAACTTGGAGCTCAGGTACTGCAGCCGGCGGTAGCAGAATGACTTTCTGGGCATGAGGAGAACAAGGCAGACACTTAGGCCCTGAAGGGAGGCACCTAGGGAGGGCTCGGGTAGCAGATCAGAGGGAGCAGGTGGGAGGGTAAGGATGGAGGCTGCCAAGAGGCCAGTAGACTGCAGGCAAGTCGAGGGCTCAGCAACTAGGAAAGATGAGTATCACCAGGTGATGGGAGTCTGGGGCAGAACTGGGGCTGGAGAATCTGGGCTAGGAGGCAAGCTAAGTGTCTGGGATGGCAGGGGACTCACATGGGGCCATTGATAATCAGGGCCATCAGCACATTGACGTCAGCCACAAATTCCTGCAGGTCAGGATATGGCAGCTCCACCTCTGAGCAACTGGCATGGAGGGGAGCTTGGGTGAGGAGAGCAAGCTGAGCCCTGTGGCCTCTCCCAAGCCAATGCAACCTCCCACGCTGCATCCCCCCAACACGCACCACACCCCTCTTACTGCTCGTCAGGTTCCCTTCGGGTGTAGACGTGCACCACACCCTGCACCATGCGCAGACCCAAGCCCAGGTCCCCAGGCATGGCGCTTGGCTCACAGTGCTCGTACGGGTGCTGCTCCAGTGCAGGGGGGTGCACCGGGGCATCTGCAGGGGTGAGGAGGGTAAAGTCAGAGCAGGGCTCTTCCAAGCCACCCACTACCCAACCCAAAGTCCCCACAGACGGCAAGAGATGTTGAAGACCCAGTAGGTCAGACAGCTCCTGCCCAACCTCCACCCCTGCACACCAAGAGGTTGGAATGAGGCTGGGTGTAGGGAGAGGCAGGCAGGGCAGAGGTGCCCAGGCACTAGGCTGAGGAAGCCCAGGAGGTTAGGGCACATGGGGTGGGGCAGAGATGGGGGGTCCCACCAGCAGACACAGGGGTGTCGGGGCCCTGCTCATAGGTCCGGGTCTCCAGAGGCTTTTCAGCCAGCTGCTGCAGGTAGCGGCGGGTGGTGGGGCAGAAGCTCTGCAGGGACAGGGCCATGTACTTCTCCCGGATGAAGAGTGCCCGCACCACACTCTTGGCTGCATCCAGCAGGTCTGTGAATGGCACCTGAAGATGAGGACATGCAATCACCATCCTCAGTCTCGGACTCAGAGACCTCCTCCCTGAGGCTTTATCTCAGACCCCAAACTATCCCCACCTCCCACAGGCCCTGGCCCCCAGGAATACTCAGATCACCCTGGTCCAGCACATCAAGTGGCTCCCAGCCAGCCCCTCTGCCCCTCCAGCTGCTGGAAAGAGAAACACCCTCTCCAGCCCCCACCCCCAGGTCTCCAGGTTGGGGGAACCCACTAAGACATAGGTGATGGAGATTCAAGGCCCTGCCCCACGTGCACCCCATACTCACCCCACACTTCTCCTCCCCGGAGATGGTGACCCGCTGAAACTCCCGTTCCAGCACATCACGCTCCCGCAGGCTCCGGTCACCCTGCCCCTCACCCTGTTCCTTGTAGAGCCTGCAGGGGGTGCATTCAAGGGAGGGGTTTGGAGCCGGCAGAAGGGCAGACTCCAGCTCCGCATCCCCTGTGCCCCTCTGCCCTCCTCACTGTAGGTCCGAGTCACTGTCTGTCTTCAGGAAATCTTGCTTGGCCCGAAGCAGGATGTCCGGCTCCAGCCTAGAGGCAAAAGGGGTGAGAGGTCAGGCAGATCACGAGGGACGGCCCTTGCTCCCAGGTCCCAGCACCACACTAGGTGCTGTGCACATGTTGTCACATGTGATCCTCAAAGGCAGAGCTGCAGAACCCTGTGCTGTTCTCACTCACTTTAGAGATGAGAAAGCAGACCCGTAAGTTAAGCAACATGGCCCAGCCACACCAGCGGCTAGAAGACAGAACAGAACCCAGCAGCCCGACTCCAAAGCCCACTCTAGGCTCCCTGTGCAGCACCCCAAGGGAGGGCGCGAGGGAAAGAGGCAGAGAAGGGCTCTGAAAGGGTCTGGACGGGTATGGAGGGAGACTAAGCAGCTGCCTGCTGGGCTCACTTGACATCCTGGCTGATCTGCCGCTCCAGCCGCTGCCGCCGCTCCTCCAGCTGTTCAATGGGGCTCTCCTCGGGGAACTCATACGGGGCACTACGGAGCTCACTCTCGGCCAGCGAGCGGGTGAACAGCTCCTGGGGGGAGGGAAGGAAGGTCAGCATGGCTGGCCCTCCGCCCTCGGACACTCTCCTACACAGTCTAAGGGTGGGGTGAGGGCAGCAGGACCAGGGGTACCTGGGAGAGGCTGAGGATCAGGAGACAGCCAAGCGTGAGGTGAGGGGACAGCTGAGGTGAGGGGTGTGGGGAGCAGAGGCAGGGCATGGAGACACAGGGTGAGGGTGCGGGTGGTGCCAGGTGATACCTCGGCGATCTCCTTGCATTTGCCATCCATAGACGTGCGCAGGTCGAGCGGGAAGTGCTTGAGGCAGGGGGCGGGGCCCGGCAGGGATCGGGCAGACTGCAGCGGAGGGGCCCCCAGACCACCCCGAGCCTCTGCAGAGACAGTGATGCCAGGGTCAAAGGGTGGAGGGGCACCCCTGATAGCCCTGGGCCCCTGCCCTGACTAGGCCAGCTCCCGAGAGAGCCCAGGGTGGGGAAAGAGGGCAGTCTCTCCTCAGTAGCTGAGGAGTAGGCCTGTGTGTGTGGCTCCCAAAGGGCTCACCCTCACCTCTAACACAAGGACCCCTCACCATTTCAGGCTCGGGATGGGGATTCTGAGTCTGCCCCTAGAACAAGTAGATTCATTACCTCCACAAATGAGAACCGAATCCCAGACTAGAGCCTGCTCCCTCAGGCCATGAGAATCTCCACATGACTACCTCCCAGAGGCAGGTGCACGTGTACATGTGCGCACACACGCACATACGCACAGACACCCGCAGAGACACACACCAGGCGCTTGGTAAGGACCAGGCGGCCACACCAGGGACCCCCAGCTTGCAGCTCCCAGGGCAGGCAACCCAGGATCAGACCCGCCCCTGGACTAGCAGATTCTCCAGTCAAAGGGGCAGGGCCCTGCGCCTGACATCCTGGACCTGTGCAGCACAAGAAAAGCCACAGCTGCTGCTCAGCTCTGACCTGGGGACCAGCCCTCAAGGGAAGAGGAGAGGAAGTGGAAGGCCTGGTTGGCAGGGGAACCCTACCTCCTCCCTGGAGGCCTGCCCTCTCCCCCAGGGCCCCACGGCTGCCAAAATGTAGCCTGGCCTGTCCCTCTAAAAGGAGCTGCCACAAACAGTCTATGTCACTCAGGCTCCAGGATCTGGGCTGGGGGCACCACAGAGGGCCCTGGGGAATGGAGTGTCAGAAGCCAGGGGTCTTTCTCCATCAAGACTAGACTTTTCATCTGTGCCACCCGGAGGATGGCACCAGAGGGCCATAAAGCCGCCGATCTATGGGGGCTGCCAAGGCTTCCAGCCTACCCCGAAGGACCCTCCCTGGGCTCAGCAGCCCCAGCTCCTCAGTGGGAAGCTTTCCACACCCAAACTGCCTCTCTCAGCTGGCTGTAAGGAGTGCTCCCATCCAGCACCCTCCACCCTGGCTTAGGGAAGGATTACAGGATCTGCCTGGGTAGCCGGCCTTAAAGTCTCTGCACCCATTTCCCAATACTCCAGGACTGGTCCCAAAGCTGGACGAAGGGAAGAGGGAGGGGCCTTCCCCAGATCCAAGACCCCGTCCCCTGCACACCCTGGGCCCTGCCTGAACCCTACCTGCAGAGTGCAGGCAGCTCCAGCCAGCAGCCCTGTGCCCCTTGCCCGCCTGTTTGCCAGTGAAGCTGCAGCCAGTCCCTCAGGGGCTGGCACAGGCTGTACCAAGTGCAGCTGCAAGCAGGGGAGACCCTGAGATGGCCGTGAGCACAGAGCTAGGGGAGTTCAAGGGAGCCCAGAAACCAAGGAAAGGAGCATCAGAGTTGGGAGATAAGATGAGCTCCAGAACTGAAGAGGGCCTCTACAGTGCCAGGGAGGACCCAGCCAGATGTGAGGCTCCTAAGGGGGAGTAGCAGGGTAGGCTGATTTGGGCAGGGCAGGCCGGCAGGGAGGAGCCAAGCCTCCTTAAAATCCACTGCCCTAGGGGACAGTCAGTGGACAGGGCCTGGCTGGCCAAAGAGTAAGAGGGGAGAAAAAGGAAGGGAACAGCTCTCCTCATCTCCACACCCACAGCCCCAGGTCAGCCTCCCCTGGCAGTGGCCTTGGTACTCACCACTGTCCTCTGGGCCCTGACTATGGGGTCCCTTAGGAGAGACAGGGCCTTTGCTGGGGAAGAAGCTAACTGGCAGCTGAGGAACTGGCCCAGTCTAGGTAGGGGCCAGTCACTGAGGCTTCCCCGCTGCCCAGCTGCTCAGGGGACTGGTTCACAGGCCCCTAGACTTGCAATCCCTGATCCAAGCCTATCATCAGGGACGGGACAAACTGTCCAGAATAAGTTTGGGAGAAAGGGAGCTAGAATTTGGAGGACATGGGTCTGATTCTGTTCCTGCTTCCAGGCATGTCTCTACCTATCATGGAAGGCTTTGGGTCCTCATCTACAAGTGGGGCGGTAAGTGCTCCCTTCCCTGCCTAGCCACAACTGCCATAAGGCTCACAGAGATAATGGCTCTGCAAGTGTTCTGCAAAACACCAGGCTCTGTGTTGAGGCGAGGCCTGCAATTATGAACTCCTGGGACCTTCAAAATACATCCTACTTGTAGCCCTGCCCACTGAGGACAGTGGGAGGTTCTCTGGGCCCAGTGCAGGGTGAAGGCAATAGGCCAGTAAAGGGCAGTGAAGTGAACTTGGCAGGGGTGGAGATGGGGTGACTATCTCTTTCTTGGAAAAGGACAAAGTAGAAAAAGGAAGAAAAGAGGGGACCCTGCCTCACCCCCAGAGTGTAAGACCTTTTCTTGCCCAAGAACCCTGATTCTACACACCTCCTCCCTACATATGGCCCCAGACCACTTCTAACTCCATCTAGGGGAGGCCGACCACAGACCTCCATGGCTAGTTCATATTGGGTTAGCAGGAGTTGAGTCCTCTCAAAGGCCCAAATCTCAACCCCCTCTCCTAGCACAGGGGTCTGGGGCTCCACAGCAGTTCTGGGGTGAGCAGGACAGATTCCAACAGCCAACGCCATCCCCCCAGCCTGCCAGGCCACTCTCCAGGGCTGCCACAGGCTCACTGAAGGTGACACACAGGCAGTAACCTCTACGTTCTCAGAGGCCAGGCCTAGAAGACTCAGCTGCCTACTGGTCCTTTCTCTAGGGGCCAGCACCACACACATACACCCACACTTACAGAGAAGTCAAGCAAAAGCCAGAGTGGGCCGCTCCAGAGCCACTCCCACCAACTCTGAGATTCTGAGCACCCCATCTCCCCTCTCGACCAGGAGCCCCTCACACACTGCCAGGACTGCCTCAGTAGGCACAGGGGTGTCCACGGCTTTGACCCCACAAGTGTCAGATGCTCTTACCATCTGACCACTGAAGGGTATCCAGTTCTGGGCTAGATCCGTATCAGTTGCCCTATTGCTGAACCAAACAGGGCCAGGGAGGGCCCCACCCAGGGGACACCCTTTCTGGATGGCACAGACCTGGGCACAGAGAACACCCTCAGGGCAGTACAGACCTAGCACTAGGCATCTTCAATGAAACAAGAAAATATAGGAGCTTGATAGTAGGGCTATGGCTACAGACAGATGCAAGGGTGGGGGGCAGTCAGCATGATCTGGTCATCAAAGTCAGGGTGGGTCTTTCCTTAGCCACAAGGCCTGGGAGCAGACAGCAGGCAGACAGCCCTCTGCAAGCACAGAGCCAGGCAGCCAAGCCCTCACTGAGACAGGCGCTGCTGCACCTCGCTGCCTGCTCCAAATGATGCAGAGATGCTTACTAGAGTGAGAGATGAACCAAAGGGTGCAGGAGCACACGCAGTGCGGGCAGCAGCCCCAGTCTGAAGCCTGCACGGACCTGACCAAGGACGCCCCATACTCCTAAGGAGGCTCATGACATAGACAAGGAACGAGCAAATAGCAAACGATAGATACAGTCAAGCCCCCAGTTGTGGGATGCCAGCCAACAATGGTTGTGCCCAGATGTCAGACCCCCAGTGAGGGGGATCTAGATGTGGGGTCCTAAAAAGTGGAACTAGTCACAGAACAGCCTGAGCCTGCCTGGTAAAGGCACAGGCACCAGTCAGAGTGGCCAGTCCACAAAACAGTCCCACACACCCCCACTCCATTCACACATGCTCCACATGCAGTCTTAGCACATGCACACGCTGACACGTGTGCACACACACCTCTTGCTGCACCCACACCATGCCCACTCCTTGTGACAGAGGACAGCATCCCTGGCACAGATATCTCAGATCCACCCCCACCCCCGGCCACCCCTCACCCCACCTTCCAAGCCGGCTGTCCCTGGGACTGAGGTTAAGAGGCACCACCACAGAGAGGATGCCAGAGGAGGTGGCCTCCTCTGAGGGGACCAGCAGCTTGGGCGAGAGGTGGCAAGACAGAGCCCAGCATCTATCCTGAGGCCAGGAAGCACACACTCACCTGGAGCTGCAGTGGAGGCCTGCAGGCTGGCCCGCTTCTTAAAGGGATATTTGGCCTTGGGCTTGCCAGAGCCAGATGGATAGGATGCCATGGCTGGGACCACGGCGGCGACAGCGGGGGAGTCTGAGCGGCACCGGCTGGGGCCTGGCTCTGCCACATCCAACCCCTTCCTCCGCCCCGCCCCCAGCGGGAGTGACTGATGCAGGAAGCAGCGGCTCCGCAGGCGGAAGAGGCCCCGGCCACGATTTCTCATGTTGTCTAGGCAACCTCGGGGAGTGGGGCCTCCATCTCTGCCCCCTATCCCTCCCCTCCCTCCTCAGTCCCAGGAGTGACGTGACTGATGGTGGCTGGGCTTGGCGGGGGGCGGGGGAGGGAGTGGGTAGAAAAGAAGATGGGGAAGGGCCAGCCCCCAGCTCTCCACTAACCCACCAAGAGCCCTCACCCCATTATGCCAGGGCTCCAGGGCAAAGAAGCCAAAGTCCAGGCTAGCTGGTCCTTCCAGCTAGTCTGGAAGAAAAAAGAATAACAAATAGGAATTCAGCAGCGAGTGAGTCCAAGCTCAAACACAGTCCTCCCGGGGCAGGGCTGGCATACTCCGTGAAAACCCAGCACCCACTTTCCTTCCACATCTGACCCTCAGCTCCGGGGGTAGCTCAGCTCTGGGAGGAGGGGGAAGAACCGAGAATCCCAGCCCAGGAGGGAGGGGCCTGTCTTGGGAAAATTCCACCGTCGCCAAATAGCTACCTCCTAGGAAGGCAGGAAGGCCAGGAGACCCCCTTGTCTGGGGGTCTGGGACAGAGACCCTAGCCTCTTCGGATTTTTCCTCTGGCTCTGCACACTCTGGCTCTGCTCCCCAGGCCCTCGTAGGAAGAGCTGACCGCCTTCCCTACGTCCTGCTGCTGTGCTGTGACTCCCACCCTCTTGTCACCCTGGCCACAGCACTTCTCTGTCCCAGAGACCCTCCCTCCAACACACGTACACACACTCACCTGAAGCCATGGTGTCCGAGTTCCGAGGGGAGGCTGCCCACGAGGGTCTGCACAGCAGAAAGCCCGGGTCCTGAGAGAGGGCAGGGTGGTCGGGCCCCAGACTCCGGCCAAGTCACTCCAAGGGCCCCTGCCCTGGCACTGAGATGGGGAAAGTAAGGCAGTCTTTCAAAATTGCCAGCTGGCCGGAGGTGGACTCCCGCAGATCTCGGCAGCCAGACTGGCCTCAAGGCGACCCCGGTGTCGCGACCACCCAACCCCGCAATCGCAATCGAGAGACGGGTAGGCCACGTGCTCCCAAGGGAGCGGGACCCGGAACTCGTCCAGGTTTCTCGCAACACTCCCTGGGCATTCAGGGTCGGACTCCCGCGGCCGGACTGTGGGGGAGTCACGCAACAGGTGCGACCCCACGAAAATCTCGCCGGCTCCGCGCCAGGCTCTGCGGCCCTTGGCCCCGCCCCCGCCTGGCCCCGCCTCCGCCTGCCGACCCCGCCTCGCCATTTTTTTCTCTTCCTGGGCGCCACGTGGGCAGCCGCCACACCGCGGTAGGGCTGGCCTGAGCTGACCCTTGATCTTGGGGCAGTTTCGTGCGTCAGCTTCCTCATCCGTAAGATGGGGTAATGACAGTACCTCACTCAAAGGGGTTACTGTGAAGATTAAACGTAAAGTCCCTTTACATAGTGCCTGGCACGAAGTCAGGGCCCAATGAAAGGTAGCTGTTGTTATCGTCCCAGGATTCATTTTAAGCAGAAGTCCTGCCCCTGCAATCTCACCTGGTCGTCTGTTTTCTTCCGGCCGGCATAGGTAGGAGGCTGTGCCCTGCAATTCTGGCTCCCCTTCCCACATTTCTGTATTTGGTGGTTAAGAGCTTTAACTCTAGCCGGAATGTCTGCGTTCAAATCCAGATTTCACCTACTTCCTGATACTGGGCAAGTTACCTAACTTCTCTGTGCTTCTGTTTCTTCCGTAAAATGAGTGTAAGAGTACCTGCTTTATATGGTGGTTAAGATGAATGAGTTAATATAAGGTAACTGCTTAGAACTGTGCCTGGCCTGTAGTTAGCACTTTTTTATTATTACCATTGCTTTAGCCTTGGCCTTGGTTCTCTATTGACACTCACAGGTTGATTCACTTACAGCCGTTCTGGGGTCTGCAGACATCCTATCCAACAAGCATCCCCACTGCCAAGGGGTAGAAAATCCGACCTAAAGGGAACTTGTGGAGGGAAGTCCCTAAGACTTCACTGAATATAATTAAATGCATTAGCAGGAATTAATCTCTTCCCTATTTTCCCTCTTGTGGGAGGCCTTTGCCCCCCAAACCCAGTTGTTCTAATGCTGTTTGTCTGGCTCCTCCCAGTTCTCACCACCCCCACAGCAGAGTTCCTTCCCAAACTCTGCCTGCCTCTTCTGTCCCCACGCTGGATTCTGGACTTTGAACCCTGTGCTCCACCTGCATCTGGTGCCACTTCCATTGATCCCTGTCTACTGCTCCCTGAACAAACTTAAAAAAACTTGGCCTCTTCACCTCACACAGAATCCATAGAACTAAAAAGAGAACAGAGATAACCAGGTTTACCTATCAAAATAGCAAAGACTAAAAAACAAAAAAACAAACACTAATGCAGGTGGCAAGGGTATAGTTAGTGAGATGGGAGACACACACACACGTACGTGTGCACACACATTACTGGTGGCCTTGAACACTGATATAATCTCTCTGAAAGCCATCTGGTAATATATAATCAAAAGTTTCAAAAAGGTTCTTATTATTTGACCCAGTAATCAATTTTCTGGAGTTTTTCTTAAAAAAGCTGCCAGAAAAATATGTATGCAAAAAGTTGCTCAGCACCACAATGTGTATTGCATAGGAAAGTTAGACACTTTAAAGGCCCAACAGTAGGGGAATGTTTATGGAAGATTCATACCATGAAATACAGCCATTAAAAATTGTTCTTGGAGAAATGTTTAATGATGTGGAAATGTTTACAATATAAAGTTAGGTAAAAGAATGGATGCAAAACACTATATACAGAATGGTCCTACTTATGTGATATACATGGGTAGAAAAGAAACACACCAACAAGTTTACCAATGATTATCTGTAGTGGTGGAATTATGGGTTATATTTTATTTATTTGCATTTTGAAAATTATAATACATACCCATAACTTTTATAATCAAGGGACTAGAAATCAACAAAAATCGGTAAAAATCCATAATTGACTCCACAGTCCCCCCAACCCAGACTTCCCTGGGTCTTAACCCCAGACTTAAACTATTCTGTTTACATTTGTGGCCCACTGAATTGGTCTTGGGGCCCTTAGGGATTTTGAGGCTGATGGACTCTCAAGAATGAATAAAATGAATCTCAAAAATCAAGCACCATGTAACTACATAGAATGTCATGTATCTTCTGATAAGATGCAAATGTTGACATAGTTTTAAAGATAGTATCTTGCATTGGGCCAGGCCTCTTGAGCCTCCTGCTTAATGCAGACCTACCTACCTCAGCAGCCAATAGGTGGCAATCCTTGCCCTCCACCCAGCCCAGGCAAACCAGTTCATTAGTCCCTTTATGCTAGTCCCCTAGTCCGATCTGCAACACACCCCTCACTCTACAACCCTCCCCTATTTCCAGGTCATCTGGTGTATTGTGGCTGCTAGGAAGTCGGCCCTGATTACAGTTAAGCATCAGTCCCTCCACCCACTCAATACCAGCAAGAATCACAGTGAGGTTTCATTGTCTATGCAGAATAGAGCTTGGGAAATAAAGGCCTGAGTCATCCTATGGCCTGGGCTTTTTTCACACTGAGGCCTTAACATTGCTTTTGAGCCTCTGGGATCTTCCCTAGCTCCAAACACAGCTTCCTCCCCTCCTAGCCTGTTCCCCACATGGCTCCTTAACTGACCCTCCTGGAATCCCAGCTCCCTAACGATGGTGCACTCCTGTTTCTCTGAAGAACTGCTTTTCTTTACTTCTGGACTTCAGCTCACTGTGATGTCAGCCTCCCTAGCTAGGCCAGAACAATCTTCACAGATACTAAACTTGGGAGAGAATATCTGCATCTCCAAAAAGGTCCTTGGCCAGGGCAATTTCCCAAACCATACCTTATGCCTAGGCCCTTCTAGAAACAAGCTGTTCAGCTCTGCTTTCTTAGCTTCTCCTAGCAGCCAGCTCCCTCTACCACCCACCTCAGTCACCCAGCATTGTGTTTATAGCACCATGCAGCTGTTTCCATCTGTACTTGTTTATAAGACCCCAGTGGATTTTAGCCAAACCCCTTGCCATTGAAGGCGCTTCACTGGCTGGCTCCAATTTCCCTTTCTTGTCCTTATCTTCACCTCCCAGCCCTCCACTCCATGCACCTTTCACTCCAGTCCACACATCAAAGTCCAGGTCTTCTCTGAGCACACCTTGTACCTTGTACCTCTACCTGTTTTCTCATGCTCTTTCCTTTCCCCAAAACACTAATCTCCCATTTCCACTGTTGTTCTGCTTCTCTGTGGAAAGTCTGTTTATTTCACAATCACCCTTTTCTTTCTTCTGCCATAAAACTTGTCAGACAGTCAGCTGTGTGTTTAATTGCCTTTCCTACCAGGGGTGAATGCTAGGTCTTAAACAGCTCTGAATTTCCCAGCACTACTGCAGTATCCCTTTCACTAATTTGTTTCTCTGTGAATTTCCCCCACCTCTGCCTATGGACTGGAAGGTCCTGAAGGTAGTTCTCATCCTTCATATCCTCCCACTCCATCTGGGACAAGTCTTTACCCACAGTTCACTTAAGACAAAGCTTACCACGG